ATCAAGGCTTTTGGAGATACTTTTGTAACCCTTTCCAGCTTCATGCAAGTCAACAATTCTTGATCGTAGGTCTTCTGAGAGCTCTTTTCTGCGAGGCATGGTTCACATCAGACAGTGCTTCTTGAAACCAGTAAACCCAAAACAGGTGGGTGTGTTTTTTAAGGGCAGGACAGCTGTCAACAACACATCCAATATCATCACACTGATTGGAGTCAAGGTTGGCTCACTCCTGGCTCCAATTAGCTCTGGGAGAAGTCATTAAGCTAGGGCCTCACATACTTTTTCCTCCCTGCACTGTGAATGTTTACATGTTATGTGCAGTTAAACCATGGCAGCATCTAATGTTTGTGTAGTATTATGTTCAGCAGACTGTGTTCTTCTATTGTTGTGACTTAGATGACGTTCAGAGCACATTTTATGCCCAATTCATTCAAAACTCCACGTAATCCCAAGGGGTTCACATACTTTTTCTTGCAACTGTATATAATATTTTGCACTTAATTCCAGTGGCCTGAGCCATGATCTAGACCGTATGCTTTGTAACATTTTGTAGAAACTCCTCCTGATGCCCTGGTCCTTGAATCGCCTTTTACAAATATCCGTGAAGAGGCAAAAAGCCATCCTTTTTCTGTGGTACGTACCAAACTTGTGTTTGTTGCTAGTGAAAGCAAAAAAAGGTTTTATCTGATCCCTTTAAAAGAGAAATATGGTATTTCTTCTTTTTTTTTTTAAATCATTCTTACCAAGGTGGATGCAGCACTGTCCCCCGACGGCTCTAAAGGTGAGAACTCCGTGATCACATGACTGCTGATCACTTGAGTTCTCACAGCCACCCTGAGCAGAGAGCTGTGACTGCCAATCTCCAGCTCTCTGTTCTGCCCACCTCCCCCCTGCGCTCACTGGAGCGCTTGGCTGTGGAGGGGAAGGGAGCAGCTGGCTCAGGCTCTCAGCAGATCACTGACAGGCTGAGCCAGGTGCCACTCCAGACTCTTGGGTGAATCTCGACTTTAAAGGAATATTTAAGAGGATCTTTCCCCAGGCTGGGCCGTCTGAGTGACATCAGCCAAAAGCAGGCTTCAGCCCGCTGCCAGCTAAAAATGGGTCACAGGAGTGCAGAACGAACTGCACTTCTAGATCCACAAGAGAAGTACAGCCAAAAGAGCTTGGCTGTACTTCTCCTTTAATCTTCAAGGCGGCTTTTGTGATTGGGTCATTCAGCTTGTTTTCAATGTCATTTGTGATCCTCATAGATAGGGTACAGTGTTTTTGTATATACTTCCTTTATTATGTTCAGAAAAAATGTATTTTAAGTGGGGTAAATGAATTTAAGGAGTCGGGAAGTATCTCTTCCCCCTTCTTTTAATCTCTCTGCTTGTTCAGTTGGGACATATGGAGCAGTCAGTTTAGATTGAGGGCACGTTACTGATTCTCTGCTCCTTTAGAAAATCTGCTGTGTAATGATGCTATATTTTGTACACATAAAAAAAGAAACTAGCATGGCATTTGTTTTTATATACAGTGGCAAGAAAATGTGAACCCCTTGGAATTAACTGGTTTTCTGCAGTAATTTGCCATAAAATGTGATCTGATCCTCATCTTAGGCACAACCATAAACAAACACAATGTGCTTAAGCTGATAACACACACAGCAATTCTAATTTCTTGTGTTTTTATTGTCTTTGGAGTTAATAGCTGGTCGAACCTTCCTTGGCAGTAGTGACTTCAAGCAAGTGCTTTTGGTAGCTCTAGACTATACTTGCACAACGGTCAGGAGGAATTTTTAATCATTTCTGTTTACAAGACTGCTTCAGTTCAAACACATTTGTAGGATGTCTGGTGTAAACGGGGCTCTTTATGGGATTAAGGTCTGGGCTCTGACTGGGCCACTCCAAAAGGAGCATTTTCTGTTAAGCACATTGTGTTTGATTATTGTTGTGACTTAGATGAGGATCAGATCACATTTTATGGCAAGTTACTGCAGAAAACCAGTTAATTCAAAGGTGTTCACATGCATCTTTCTTCTTTAAATATTAACTCTTAAAGAAACTAAAATAAGAGTTTAAATGTCACAAATTTAAAAAAAATATCAAATTAAATTGACCCAAACGAAGATAGTCAGTAGTACAGGAAAATAGACCATAGAACTGTGACCATGAAATCAGATCAAATATTCTTTATGATGCTGTTCTAGGTTTACAGATATTTCCCAGGTTTTGATTGGTTTTTCCTTGATCCCATCACAGCAAGTGGCATCAAGTTTGCCAATGATGAAAAGTAAGTATGTAATATCTGTCTGTCCTCTAACTTGGCCTTGATGGTAAAAACTCTATAAGCAGGTTAAATAATTGCAATAGACAATTATAAAGAGACTATTGTTTTTTTTTAATTTCCATTGATGTAAGGTTTGCTGTGCAGTACATTACCATTGGTCAGTTAAGACTCTTGCAAAGCTTGTGTCATTGGTTTAAGAATAAACCCCAGAGGATCCCTATCCTCAGCCAACCTGAACACTTGTTTTTCAGAGCACTGTCTGCTAAAAGCAGCAGGGACAAGCCTAGACAGTCTGCCCAAGCAATAACTTGTTACTTCAAAGTCATTTGTAGTAACAATATTATTGCACTTTGCAGATTGTGTAATTGTTTTGAAGTTGTGTGTGTACTAATCAAGAAAGCCAACATAATTTACATAAATATTTACAGCTAAATGATGATTAGCTGATGACACCGCATATGGTGACTTTGACTGAGTTGCAGTTTTCTTACTCTAAAGCATTCCTACAATCCTCTTTTCTAGTGTGAAATACATATCATGCCCACTGCTGATACTCCATGCAGAGGATGACCCTGTGATCCCATACCATCTAGGAAGAAAGGTAATCATGGTCTGGTATTTTGTTACTTAAAACTGAGCTACAGCAGCAAACACATGAAAATCAGACGTAGAAACAAATACTGTGTCTGTATGTATGTATATATATTTATTTATTTTAAGGCTAAGTTCACCTTTATGGAAAAAATAATACATGCACATAATTTGCTGGAAAAAATGTGCATTTAAAAAATTTCCTACAGAACCCAGCAAAACATTGGACTCTCAATCAGTGGATTGTGGGTGCAATATCAGGCTCCTGCACACTCTCCCATCTGCGTTCTATGCGGGTTTTCAGTTAGAAAGCTGGAGAAAGTGTGAATAGAGTCCATTAAGTACTAAAAGCTGTCTGCCATGGTGGCAGATTGAAGCATTTGTAGTGTATTCATTCACAGATCCCTGTGAATGAATGATGCGGCCGTGTGGGCAGAGTCCCGCACAGCTGCATCGATTTTAAAGGTGAAAGTGGCTGTGGGGTAGACGAACTGCTGTCACGGGGGAGGGGGGGGGGGGGATCCGGGGGGGAGGGGGGATGTGCTGGAGCATGTTACTTGTTGCACCCTAAATACAGGTGTAATATTTTCTAAAGCTGAACTGATACTTTAAAACATAGATGTCATAAGAGAAACATCCTTCTAAAACTGATAGTTACCTGGCTTTGTCGGCTTTAAAGCTGAACTCCAAGAATTCTGCAATTTTCTAAACTGTTCTAGCTTACTATGGGTTAAGCCCAACAAGGTGAATACCAACTTGTGGGCTTATCTCTATTATTAACAAGTGACAGTTTTACTGAGCACAGCAAGTACAGCTATCACTAAGCTCCCAGCGTTCTGACAGAAAACATGCTGTTATCCCACACAGCAGCGTCTCTGCCTGCTCCTCCTCTCCACTGTCAATTTGACACTACAGATGCTGTAGCCGAGACTAGGTGGTCCAGCTGCAGAGTGCCAGAAGTATAGCAATTAGCTAGTAAAAATGTAAATGTAATGATTTTTCTATGACGCAGCTTTAATACTGAAATAGGATATACCTGTGCTCAAATCCCAATAGCTCATGTATATAATTTATCAGGTGCTAAATGGGTGTGACCACATGTAACACTGGAAACTCTGGGTGAACCCTAATTACACTACTTTATTCCCTTTCTATCAAACTTTCCAATAAACAGGGATTTTTAGTTAACACATATTGCAATACATGTTTAAGCTGATCAACTGTGCCACAAAAATCCCTCTCTGGCCATTCCTACTCTGTTCTGCAAATGCTACAGTGCACACAATGCCAGCAAGCTCCCTGTTGTTTATTGCAAAGTGTGCTAGAAAGGGAATATAGCAGTGTGCAGAGGGTTCATCCAGAATTTCTAGTGTTAACAGGTCACACCCCTTTAGCACCTAATAAATGATATACAGTCAGGTCCATAAATATTGGGACATCAACACAATTCTAACATTTTTGGCTCTATACACCACCACAATGGATTTGAAATGAAACGAACAAGATGTGCTTTAACTACAGACTATCAGCTTTAATTTGTGGGTATTTACATCCAAATCAGGTGAACGGTGTAGGAATTACAACAGTTTGCATATGTGCCTCCCACTTGTTAAGGCACCAGAAGTAATGGGACAGTTGGCTACTCAGCTGTTCCATGGCCAGGTGTGTGTTATTCCCTCATTATCCCAATTACAATGAGCAGATAAAAGGTCCAGAGTTCATTTCAAATGTGCTTTTTGCATTTGGAATCTGTTGCTGTCAACTCTCAAGATGAGATCCAAAGAACTGTCACTATCAGTGAAGCAAGCCATCATTAGGCTGAAAAAACAAAACAAACCCATCAGAGAGATAGCAAAAACATTAGGCGTGGCCAAAACAACTGTTTGGAACATTCTTAACTTGTTGCCGACCGCAGATAGCCGAATGACGGCTGCACTGCAGCCGGCCAGTTCTGAGTGGACGTCATATGACGTCCCCCCTAGAACGCGCTCTCCTGCGCGCCCCAGGGGGCGCGCACCCCCCGCGATGATCGCTGTGTCCTACGGACACAGCTGATCACGTGATGTGGTAAAAGGCCAATCACAGCGGCCTTTTACCACCTGATCAGCGGTGTCCAATGACACGCTGATCAGAGGGAAATGCAAGTGCCGGTTCTTGGCTGCACTTTCCTCACGCTGTCAGATCGTGAGGAAAGTACTGCCGAAAACCGGCAGTTGTCAGAGCGGGGATCGGCACCGATCATCAGGCCACTGATGATCAGTGCCCTGATGATCGGTGCCCAGCACTGCCACCCGCAATTCCGCCCACCTGTGCCCAGCAGTGCGCCCACTAGCTCCGCCCAGCAGATCACCCACCTGTGCCCAGCAGTGCACCCACCTGTGCCACTCTGCAATTTCACACACCTGTGCCCAGAAGTGCCACCTACCTGTGCCCAGCAGTGCCACCCACCAGTGCCACCCACCTGTGCCCACCCACCAGTGCTGCCCACCAGTGCCACCCACCAGTGCAGCCCAGCAGTGCTGCCAGTCAGTGCCACCAGTCAGTGCCCAGGGGTTGTGCCAGTCAGTGCCCAGCAGTGATGCCAGTCAGTGCCGTCTATCAGTACCCATCATCAGTGTCACCTATCAGTGCCGCTTATCAGTGCTGCATATTAGTGCCGCCTATCCGTGACACCTCATTAGTGCTGTCTATCAGTGCCTATCCGTGCCACCCTCATTAGTACTGCCATCAGTGCCCTTTAGTGCTGCCTATCAGTGCCCATCAGTGCTGCCTCATCGACGCACATCAGTGAAGGAGAAAAATTACCTGTTTGAAAAATTTTATAATAGAAACAAAGAAACTTTTTTTTTTCAAATTTTTGGCAATTTTTTATTTATAGCGCAAAAAGTAAAGCGCCCAGTGGCGATTAAATACCACCAAAAGAAAGCTCTATTTGTGAGAAAAAAATTATCAAAATTTCATATGGGTACAATGTTGCATGACCGCGCAATTGTCAATCAAAGTGCGGCAGCGCTGAAAGCTGAAAATTGGCCTGGTAAAGAAGGGGGTATAAGTGCCTGGTAGGCAAGTGGTTAAAAAGAAGGAACGCACCGGTGAGCTCAGCAACACCAAAAGACCCGGAAGACCACGGAATACAACTGTGGAGGATGACCGAAGAATTCTTTCCCTGGTGAAGAAAACACCCTTTACAACAGTTGGCCAGATCAAGAACACTCTCCAGGAGGTAGGTGTATGTGTGTCAAAGTCAACAATCAAGAGAAGACTTCACCAGAGTGAATACAGAGGGTTCACCACAAGATGTAAACCATTGGTGAGCTCAAAAACAGGAAGGCCAGATTAGAGTTTGCCAAACGACATCTAAAAAAGCCTTCACAGTTCTGGAACAACATCCTATGGACAGATGAGACCAAGATCAACTTGTACCAGAGTGATGGGAAGAGAAGAGTATGGAGAAGGAAAGGAACTGCTCATGATCCTAAGCATACCACCTCATCAGTGAAGCATGGTGGTGGTAGTGTCATAGCGTGGGCATGTATGGCTGCCAATGGAACTGCTTCTCTTGTATTTATTGATGATGTGACTGCTGACAAAAGCAGCAGGATGAATTCTGAAGTGTTTCGGGCAATATTATCTGCTCATATTCAGCCAAATGCTTCAGAACTCATTGGACGCCACTTCACAGTGCAGATGGACAATGACCCAAAGCATACTGCAAAAGCAACCAAAGAGTTTTTTTAAGGGAAAGAAGTGGAATGTTATGCAATGACCAAGTCAATCACCTGACCTGGATCCGATTGAGCATGCATTTCACTTGCTGAAGACAAAACTGAAGGGAAAATGCCCCAAGAACAAGCAGGAACTGAAGACAGTTGCAGTAGAGGCCTGGCAGAGCATCACCAGGAATGAAACTCAGCGTCTGGAGATGTCTATGCGTTCCAGACTTCAGGCTGTAATTGACTGCAAAGGATTTGCAACCAAGTATTAAAAAGTGAAAGTTTGATTTATGATTATTATTCTGTCCCATTACTTTTGGTCCCTTAACAAGTGGGAGGCACATATGCAAACTGTTGTAATTCCTACACCGTTCACCTGATTTGGATGTAAATACCCTCAAATTAAAGCTGACAGTCTGCAGTTAAAGAACATCTTGTTCGTTTCATTTCAAATCTATTGTGGTGGTGCATAGAGCCAAAAATGTTAGAATTGTGTCTGTCCCAATATTTATGGACCTGACTGTACATGTACAAGCTACTGGGATTTGAGCACAGGTATATCTTATTTCTGTTGCTTTGCAGTTCAGTGGCCATACCTGAACCTACTAGCTCTCCCCCACTTTGTGTCTGTTTGTCCCATGTTGGCATTGTGTTCACAGTAGCATTTGCAGAGCAGAGTAGAACTGACCATAGAGGGATGTATGCAGGCCATAGATGGGTCGAAAATCGGCCGATTTTTCGGCCGAAAATAAAATCGGCCGATTTTCGGATCGTTAGTGGGCGATTTGGTCGGCCGTTTTTCGGTATTTTGGCCGTTTTTTTTTTTTTCGGTAAAGTTGGAAAAAAATCGGCCGATTTTGCCGATCGGCCGATTTTCGCGGCAATTAGTGGGCAAATCGGCCGATTTTTTACCGATAAAAAATCTGCGCATGAGCAGTGACCTGCAAGAGGAAGACAAAAAGAAGAAAAAAAGAAGAAGAGGAAGAGGATGAAGAAGAGGATGAAGAAGAAGAGGATGAGGATGATGATGAAGAAGAGGATGAGGATGAGGATGATGATGAAGAAGAGGATGAGGATGATGAGGATTGAGGAGAGGAAGAAGAGGATGAGGAAGAAGAAGATGAAGAAGAGGATGAGGATGATGATGAAGAAGAAGAAGAGGATGAGGATGAAGATGAAGAAGAAGAGGATGAGGAAGAAGAAGAAGAAGAGGATGAGGATGAGGATGAAGAAGAGGATGAGGATGAAGAAGAGGATGAGGATGAAGAAGAGGATGAGGATGAAAGAAGAAGAAGAAGTAGGATGAAAATAAGAAGAATTCCAGTCCAGCAAAAAGTGTCTCTGCAGAGAGCTCCGCTATTTCTGACAGTTCTCTGACAGTTCCTTGACATTTACAGCGGTTGAAACATTGTATCTATTTGTTTCCGAATAAAAACATCTGTATCCTAAATGGAAACAAATAGATACATTGTTGCAACTTCTATAAATGTCAAGGAACTGTCAGAGAACTGTCAAAGAAATAGCAGAGCTCTCTGCAGGGACACTTTTTGCCGGCTCTAGACGGGTAGAAAATCGGCCGATTTTTTTTACCATTGATGGTAACGTCGGCCACTTGAACAACCGATTTTTCGTTTTTTAAAAGAAAAATCTGCAGTTTTTCTCCCCATCTATGGCCTGCATTACTTTGTTGCAGTTGGCCAGCTTAAATATGTACTAAAATTCCCTGTTTTTTTTATTGCAACGTTTGTTAGAAAGGGAATATAGCAGTGTTCATAGGGTTCTTCCAGATTTTCTGGCTTTGATACTGAGTCACAGACTTATGCAGGCCATAGATGGGGAGAAAAACTGCAGATTTTTCTTTTAAAAAAACGAAAAATCGGTTGTTCAAGTGGCCGACGTTACCATCAATGGTAAAAAAAATCGGCCGATTTTCTACCCGTCTAGAGCCGGCAAAAAGTGTCCCTGCAGAGAGCTCTGCTATTTCTTTGACAGTTCTGTGACAGTTCCTTGACATTTATAGAAGTTGCAACAATGTATCTATTTGTTTCCATTTAGGATACAGATGTTTTTATTCGGAAACAAATAGATACAATGTTTCAACCGCTGTAAATGTCAAGGAACTGTCAGAGAACTGTCAGAAATAGCGGAGCTCTCTGCAGGGATACTTTTTGCTGGACTGGAATTCTTCTTATTTTCATCCTACTTCTTCTTCTTCTTCTTCTTCTTCTTCTTCTTCATCCTCATCCTCTTCTTCTTCTTCTTCATCCTCATCCTCTTCTTCTTCTTCATCCTCATCCTCTTCTTCTTCTTCTTCATCCTCATCCTCTTCTTCATCCTCATCCTCTTCTTCATCCTCATCCTCTTCTTCTTCTTCATCCTCATCCTCATCTTCTTCATCATCCTCTTCTTTCTTCTTCTTCATCCTCATCCTCTTCTTCTTCTTCTGCATCCTCATCCTGCATCTCATCTTCTTCTTCATCATCATCCTCATCCTCTTCTTCATCATCATCATCATCCTCATCCTCTTCTTCTTCATCATCATCCTCATCCTCTCTTCTTCTTCTTCTTCTTCTTCATCTTCTCATCCTCTTCTTCTTCTTCGTCATCCTCATCTTCTTCTTCATCCTCATCCTCATCCTCTTCTTCTTCTTCTTCTTCTTCATCCTCATCCTCTTCTTCATCCTCATCCTCTTCTTCTTCCTCATCCTCATCTTCTTCCTCATCCTCATCCTCTTCTTCATCATCATCCTCATCCTCTTCTTCTTCTTCTTCATCCTCATCCTCTTCTTCTTCTTCTTCATCCTCATCCTCTTCTTCTTCATCCTCTTCTTCTTCCTCTTCTTCTTCTTCTTCCTCTTCTTCATCGTCTTCCTCTTCTTCTTTTCTTCTTTTTGTCTTCCTCTTGCAGGTCACTGCTCATGCGCAGATTTTTTATCGGTAAAAAATCGGCCGATTTGCCCACTAATTGCCGCGAAAATCGGCCGATCGGCAAAATCGGCCGATTTTTTTCCAACTTTACCGAAAAAAAAAAAAAAAAAAGGCCAAAATACCGAAAAACGGCCGACCAAATCGCCCACTAACGATCCGAAAATCGGCCGATTTTATTTTCGGCCGAAAAATCGGCCGATTTTCGACCCATCTATGGCCTGCATTAGAATGTAATAAAACAAAACTATTAGAATGACAGCCAGGACACTAAAGTTTTAAAAAAGAGAAGTCAATTATGCCAGCTCATATATTTTCCATTATTATCAGTTTTTTTTTAGTTTTTTTTTTTTTTTAAATGGGACTGCATGTTAAAGCATAAATGTAATCTTTTTAAAACTTTAGACGTGTGTATGGTCATGATTTAAAATCTTATATTCATCTCCCACATTGTGCTTCAATTATTTCTAACTTAGTAGATTTGGAAACTTGTGAAGGCAGCCACATGTTTACTGTCTTGAATTCTGTGACGACCATTTACTATTCCAAGTTAGTATGCACTGCTGTGGCACAGGATTCACAGTGCCTGCCTTTTGAACTTTCTGAACTATAGAGATGCAGAATAGGAAACCCAAAAAAACCTTTGACCGTATGTATTTACCTATCCTATGTGTACCCACCTATCCCTCTCCAAGTGATATATATATATAATCAGCACAGATAGAAATTAAGTTCAAAATTAGTCCTGGTCCAGCAAAATACGTAGGACATCAAACCTCGTGATTTCTAGCAGGCAGCTGTACAATACCTAATTTTCAATTTATTATAGGTACGTTCATTACAGGTAAAGCTATGTTCTAACCAACTG